ATATAGCCCCACTTTCAGCAACAGCCCATGGCTCACTGACAACCATGTTGAACACATTCTCTGTTCTTGATTGTGGTTTTTCATTTTATGTAAGCCCTGCCACCATTGGGAAGTTAAAATATCTTTGTAGACTTTAAGTTAATATCCTGGCCAATGTTTATAAGAGTAGTGGTGGGGAATTTTCTCTTACATTTTATTTTAGCTCCATGATAAACCTAAGGTTTTCAATGCAGATAATATCTTGCTTTTGTTTACTACAATATGCTTACTTATCACATGTGTTCCTACCCAACTGTAAGATCATCTGTTGACATCCGTCTCATTAAACCTCCCACTAAAGAAGTTTAGTGGGTAGCAACCAAGAGAAGGGCCTTCTCAGTAGTGGCACCCCACCTCTGGAACATGCTTTTCAGAGAGGTGCACCTGGCACCATCCCTGTCATCTTTTTGTCCAGGTGAAAACCCTTTTATTTTCTAAATAATAGCTAAGCCCACGTGTGTTGTTGCTGAACCAGTTTATTGTTTATAAATTGCTGCTGTGCCTGGTTGCTTGCCCTTGATTGTTTGTTCTATTGTTGTTTTATAGTATTTTAGGTGAATATTGTTCATACTGTTTTTATGAGAATTTTAAGAATTGTTTTTATGATGTTAATATTTGTAAACCACCCAGAAGAGTGGTCTGTGGCACAGTATATAAATGTAATAAATAAATACAGCTTTCATTTCATTTTCTGTTGTATATTTTCCATCTGTATTTGAGCTAGCAAAACCCAGGATACACTAAGGTACTCTTAAGTTGTAGTAGCTTTAAACTAACCCATGGTTGTAAGCATTTTTAAATTATATTACATTTTTTAAACAACCAAGAATACACTTTTATTTTATTTATCTAAAGATACTTCTTTCTATGAATTTTTGTTGATTCCTACTACCCACTGAATACTGTATTCCATTCTGGCCCAGAGATTTCATCAACCCTCAGGAGACTCTTTTCTGGAGGTTCCAAGGGCTGTGGTGGGTAGAGATGATTGGCTTATACCCAAAAAGGACTTCCGATTTTAGCCAATGTGTTAAACACTGTTAAAGTATAAAAGTAAAAATTCAGTAAGAGACTATTTTGAAGTTATTTTCTCCTGGCAAATAATTTTTTTTTTGGACAGTCTTCTGAGTGAGAAGATGTAAATTAGTGTTCTGCAACAGCACAGGGTTGGGTCCAGTGGCCTTTTTGGCCCCTTCCAACACTACTATTTTATGACTTCAAAGCATCTTAAACTTAAATCTCTGTTCATGGAGTGGCCATTCTTCTGTTGGAGCTGTACTTGTTTGTATCTTTTAATATGACAGTCTTGGACTTGGTATAATAGAAGGCTCATTGTTTGTTTGTTTGTTTCATCACAGTTGATCGTTTCAGTCGTAATCTTGAGGATGACATTCATGGTATTTCAGGCTTGGAAGTGGTTCATCTTGTATCCTGTTCAGTGGCCAATCAGGATTCAGTAATTCTAATGAAGAAAACCTAGGAAAATGGTTACATCCACACAAAATGTTTCATGGCCATTTGGACCTGGACTGGTAAAATGCAATTTCTTATGCAAAACTGATTCCTTATTCAAGGCAAGAGCTTTGCAGTGATGGTAGCTTGAGAAAAACTAGGTTTTTTTTTTCCTCTTGAATATGCCAGTTCTGATTACATCACTAATAAGCACTAAGTAGGTATCTCCCTAAACTTTAGGTCTAGTTACTGAGCAGTCTTGATTATTAATGCCCACACAAAAAAGCTAAAATACTTCTTTAGATTTAGTGCATAATTTTATGGTCCCAAGAGATAAGGCAGAATGATAGCATGTAGCCATGGCAACAACATTTTGTGTGTAGACTTCTCAATGTAGGAGGATGCAGGTAACCTTGGTTATTGCTCAGCATTTTTTATCTACTAGCTTATGGAGGAAATTTGCATTTAAAGCAAAAACAACTTACTGGATTGTAATGTATGTTCATTTCTGCTCATAGCATTTAATGCTTCAAAAACGGATTTGGGTTATATTAAAGTCTCTTCTCTATAAAACTCAGTTGAATTCCTAGGTGTAGAAAACTACAAGTGGCTTCAGGTCTGACTTCCAATTTGGAAAGAAATCTATTTTGCCTTCCTAAATATTGAAAGTCAAGAATAGACAGCACTGCCTTAGCTTTGTTATCATTTAGTTCATCTGTACACTGCTGGTACATACAGTATTACTCTTTACATTCTCTGGATGTTCTGACCTATTGTTCCAGACTAAGTGATTAGAGGAGAGAAGTAAAAATAGCACCATAATTTATTTTGATGTACAGAGTAGCAAAAGGTAATCATTTGAGAAGCTGAAGCTTCTCTCACAAAATTAAGTAACAAATCATAATCCCATGACTTAAGCTTAATAGTATGGTACTTATAGCATGACCCAAGTTTTACAACCTGCCTTCATATGATTCACTTTAAATCACTCTTGGCTGAACTATCTTTAATCATTCATCTCTGTATCTTGTTTCATTTGGTGAAGGCAGTGTTGCTAAATACTAGGAGACAAAGCTGAGTGCTTGCTGCTACATGTTTAGTTTTCTTTTCTTGAAGGTAGTCACTCATTATATGTTGTTGATGTTGGGGCTTACCAGAAGTTTAAATGCGCTCACATAGACCTGCCTTGCTTAAAAACAGATGGGTTATTGTGCATGAGGAGGCAAGCAACAATGATTCCGGAGTTGGTGCAGTGGACCTGGACTGCTGGGTTATTCAGTTGCTATGCATTGGGCTGCACATCTTGTGGCCCTATGGATGCTTTAGCCTCAACTCCCATCAGCTGTGTTGGCTTGGCCTACTGGGAGTTGTGGCCCTCCAGATATTTTGGACAAGATGCCCGTCCCTCCTGTGCATGTTTGTTTACAACTATCTCATTCATTGATTATAACTAAACTAAAGAATAATTGCTGAGATCCTGTCAATATTATTTCAAAACCTAACTTGCAGTGATTACTAAGCAGGAGCTGGCAGATTGTGTCTGACTGCTTGAGTCAGTTGTTTGGAGGTCATGACTGAACACAGTCCTTCCCAGGAGGCCTTGAGTACATCACTTCATCTTCTGCATAACATCCAGTGTGAAGTGAGCTCAGTTTGCTCAAGTTCTCTGCATGTGTCAGAAGGTTTCAGAGTAGGCTGGGACTATGCTGTGCAAGGCAGCTGCTGCCTATAAGTTCTCTAATGAAAGGAGAACTGGGGGGGGGGGGGGGGGAGAGTCCTGTTACTGTGCTGAAATGGGTGGCTGCCAGGAAGATTTGAATTTGCCACCTTAACACTTAGGAATCATCTGTATTGTGAAATGGCGATTACAGTGCAGTCTTATTACAGTGCAACCACAGTGTACTCAGAGGTAAATTCCATTGTGCTCAACAGGGATAATTACCCATAGGAATGCATCCTTAATGAGTCTTGCTAAATTAGGGAATTTCTATACATCAGTGAAATATTTTATAAAGTCTGGACTTCCATGACATCTCTAACTGAGCCACTTGAAATTCTGCAGTCCATATGACTTTGCCACACATATGCTATGAAGATACGAAATATAATGCCTGCCACTGGTCTCTTTCTTTTTCTTCACTTAAAGCTAAAAATCGATTTTAGAAATTGGGTGCAGGAAGATTTCACAAAGGAGTTCTGTTCGTATCACTGCTCACAAGAGGCCTGGGTTCCTGGTTTTAAAGAATGACTGCTTTCAGTTACATTGTAGATGGAGGAACTCAGTGAACGCCAGCTGCATGGCAAGCAAAGCAAGAAGAAGGATTGAGCCTGTTTGCACTTGAGCCTGTGACTTGAAGCAAAATTTGAGAAAGTACCTAGAAGATTAAAATAATTCATGCATTTGAAAGCATTTGAGTGTTTTAAAATAGATGCACAACCCCTTTTATGGTTTTCTTTATGACTAGCACATCAGGCTGTATTGAATTATTGTAAAATTTCTTTGTTTAGGTTTATTTACATAACCATTATTGCCTACTTAGTGAGCTTGCCCACTGCCAGACAGTTTCTAAAAGTATAAGGAATCTCAGTGAAATGTGTATTAAGGGAAATGTTTACTTTGAACAAACACAAGAGTAAATACTTTTGACAGCCACTATGGTGTGGTGGTTACAGTGTGGACTGGGGACCTGGGAGATCCAGGTTCTAGTCCCCACTCAGCCATGAAACTCATTGGTTGACTTTTGACCAATCATTCACTTTCAGCTCAACCCACATCACAGGGATGTTTTTGTGAGCATAAAAATGGAATTAAGCAAGCCGCCTTGGGTTTTCACAAGGGGGGAAAAGAAAGGATATCAATGTAATGTGGTGGTGGTGGTGGTGGTGATGAGAGCTTAAGCAATGGTATCTTGAATCTTTTTACTCCCTAGCATGCATTGCACAATATGGGTATAACTTGTTAATGAATTTGAAAGTTGCTAGCCCATGCAGAAACCATAATTTTGTGCTATGTGAAGAAGCCTGGTGTGTTTGTGCTGCCGTTTTCTCCCAGCACATCCACTTCTAATTTCAACTGATCATAATTTGTCATTTTGTCTAAGCCAGAAATTGCAGTTAGTTTAAATCATGTTATATTGTAGGAGGTCAGGAACAGAAACCATTGTTGTATCTTGGCTTGTTTGGGCAACTATTAACTCGGGTGAAATGGCAAGACCTCATTTAATTTGAAATAGCAAATTCTTCCAGTTTTATTGCAGCCGTGCCAGAATAAGGCGCATGTATCAGGAGGGAGAAATTCATGAGCATAAGATTTATGTAACAATGAACCATGTTTTGGTGTTATGTCAGAATGCAGGATAGTGTGCATTTCTCAAGTGCTTTAACTTAACTTATCAAATTACCCTCTTCCTTTCTAGCATTGGCACAGAGAATGCTGCCAGATCACTACAATGATTGTAAACATTATTGTGTCTGGCCGTGCAAATTAACTTCTGTTTCTTGGCTTTTAGCTCATCATCCTGCTGTAGTGGTACCTGACAACTGCACAGAAAAATGGCTGCTAGCAAAGCGAAAAACCAGAGTTCTCTGGCCCTCCACAAAGTAATCATGGTTGGTAGTGGAGGTGTGGGCAAATCAGCACTTACACTTCAATTTATGTATGATGAGGTAAGAAAGCTTGCAATCTATATGAACATCTTAGATTCTTCCTTCCTCACATTTATATCCCTGCTTTTTTCCTGCAAGGATCAGTTTACATAATATTCTTCCTCTCCCTCTCCATTTTATCTTCTCAACAACCCTGAGAGGTAGGTTAGGTTGAGAGTCAATGACTGATGAGCTTCATGGCTGAGTGAGGACCAGACCCAGTGGGATATGTACTCAGCTGCCTAGATTCTACCTCATTTTGGAATAATACAACTTTCATAGTTTCAGGAAAGATTGTTTCAGGAAAACAGCAATAATTTTATTTTGTTCTTCTGTACTGAATTTTCCTTATAAAGAACCAATTCTAAAGATTTGGTTAATCAACAGTATAAAGATACAGTTATGCTTCAAGTCAACATTACTTGACTCATGTAAAGTTTCAACTCATGTAAGTTTATATTTGTGTGACACATTCCAGCACACACACACACACACACAATATATATATATACAATATTAATACTAATAATTTAATATCAAAGGATACTTTTACCCAGAACTCTGTGTTTTGTGTAATTTTGTATTAGTGTGAAAGAAGCTCAGAACCTGACATTAGGTTGAAATATCAATTCTCAATAAAGGCCTGCATGATCCTTAGGTCTACAAAGGTGTGCTTGACATTTCTTGAAAAAATTCTGATGGAAACCTTCTGTTGGAAGTTGGGCCAGGGTATTGTTGTGGGAAATGATGCTTCAGTCCAGCATAACTCATTGCCTTTCCCCATGACACACAGAGGCAGAGTTAATAGTTGTAAAACAATGTAAGGGAAACATTCCCAACTAAAAGCAGTTGTATATATTGTATTTTAGACTTGCATATTGCAATCTGTCCTTGCTAATTTTTGATTGGCACAGTGGGCGTGCCAATAGGCCTTCAGATTTGGGAGGTTACAGGCATCCAGCACAAGATGAAGGGAAGGAATGGAAGCAGTCTCTACCTCCTCCATTCCTTGTACCCTGCAAGTAAGCTGGATGGCTGATTTTGGCCTTTTTGATGAGGAGGAACAGGGAAGAAACCTGAAAGCATTGGTCCTGTTTTCTTCCTGCACCCTGGAATATCCTGTTTATTCCTTCAATGCTTATGTTCCTGAAGAAGCAGCTGCTGTAAGGGGTGCCCAAATGTGGATGCCCAGCTCTGCGATTAGAGCTCTTTTTCTGACCTCTGAGAATCCAGACTCCCACAGCCCCCTAGACAGCCTATAGGGGGACCTTGGATTACTGTTAGTGATCGCTCTGTTCATTTAAATCTCTGTTCTGTATAACTTTAGAAAACTAGAGTCAAAACTGAAGACTTAAAATAGCTTATGGAAAGTATTTTCTGCAGCTGAATTGGTACAATTTTATAATTGTTTTACAGTGTATTTTAAAAGGAAGGCAAATGTCTAGTATTTTCATCTGGTGTTTTACTTTTGCTTGGGTGCTACATGTATGTAAATTAAGAGGCAAAATGTGTTTTTCATGCTATATTGCTGCTAGTGGCCATCACTGTTAATCTGAGAAACCATCTATGATTCCAGAATCAAGGTGGGTGTTCCATGATTCATTGTTCTCTTTTGTCCTTAGTTCGTGGAAGATTATGAACCTACCAAGGCTGACAGTTACAGAAAGAAAGTAGTTCTAGACGGAGAGGAAGTCCAGATAGATATTCTGGATACAGCAGGACAAGAAGATTATGCAGCTATTCGAGACAACTACTTCCGTAGTGGAGAGGGTTTTCTCCTGGTCTTTTCCATAACTGAGCACGAATCATTTACAGCAACAGCAGAGTTTAGGTAAGTAGTGCTCTCTCTAGACCCGTGGTGAGCAACTGGTGGCCAGTGCTCCTATCATTCTTGCTATTGGCTATGCTGGTGAAGTCTGCTGGAAGCTAGTTTTGGATTGGCACAGTGGGCATGCCAGTAGGCCTCCGGATTTGGAAGGTTACAGGCATACAGGCCCTCCAGATGCTTTGGCATACAAGTTGCCTACCTCTGCTCTAAATAAACAGTTTCTTCAAACTTTTTATGTGTTATAGATTTGATCAGAACAATGTACTGTGTATCAAAAAGGTGGGATACATTTCAGCAAATAGAATAATATACATAAGTTACACCGTTATGGCAAGGCTGGGCAGTAGTATGATCAGCAATAATAAACTAGATCCCTTTGTTGCCGTAGTTCTAAGCAACTGGGAGCCTGAGCTTGCTAATCCAATGCAGAAATCTCCTGGCAGATCTAGATTTCCTTTCTGCCCATCTTTGCAGCATGATCACTGTTTTATTTTGTATACAGAGTGTCTCCAGGTTACGAATGCCTGAGTTACAAACAACCTGTACTTATGAACAAATTGCATGAAGCCTTTTTTTTAATTACTGTGAAAATTGCCATCACCATAAAGAGAGAGGAAGTGAAAGGAGGGTGAGGAAAGCCATCACCACAGAGAGAGAGGAAGTGAAAGGGTAAAGAGGGAGGCCCTTGAAAGCACGCATTCCTACCTCACCATCCAGAGAAGGAAATATATCTGACAATTCCCTGCTACAAAGAGGAGGCACTGGTGAGTTTGGGGGTGGGGAACTATAGAGATATTCATGGCTTTTCCAGCTTTGTGGGAGCTCCTACAGTCCTAGCCTCCACAAATATGGAGCGCTATGAGTATGTGATCTGACTTTCATACTGATTTGACTTAAAGATGAATTTCTGTTTTCTCAGGAATGGAACTTATTTGTAACCTGGAGACTGCCTGTATTTGCCAGCTTGTAACTGCATTTTGCCATTGTCCGTTGATTTATAATTAGCAATGGGTGCACATCTCTCTCTCTCTTTTTAAGATCACAGGATGTACCTTTGCTGTGTTCAATCAAGCAAACCCTGGCTTTAGGCACCACTGATATTATCCAAGGTGTCATCAGAAATGTGCTCTCATTCCCTGAGGGTGTTCTTCACCTTAAAACATTTCCATTAAAATAAAAAACAAATGGATAAAGGTTCTTTTACAAGGAGAAGGAGAGCCACTGGCTTACTTGAGCAGGCTATACTATTGTGTGATGGTTGTATGTATGTCAGTCATTTAAAATGGTTAGAGTAGACAAGCTGTTTTAAGAGGAGGTGACCCAGGAATGAACTGATGGGGTAGGGCTTTTACTTACCTGTGTGGTCACTGTGAAACCTCAGTAGAGCAGTAGTTTAGCACAAAGTCACCATTGTTCTTTCTTTTAATATGTTTGTGTTAATTTTATTTTACGTGTCTTTAGAGATTTGTTGGGCAGAAAGACAGAAAATAAATATTTTAATCAAAGACTGACATACAGTCTTTGATTAAAATATCTATATCTTGACAACCACAGTGTAGATCTATGGCCTGTTAGTGTTCTGTGATAAGATAGAATGAGTTTATCAGAACCTGAAGATGTGAGAACTGTGCAATAGTAGTTCAACTTTTAACTTGCGGATAAGAAAAAACAATATTATTGGATTTTTATAAGGATTAGTAGCATAGTTGGAAAGCAAAATCAGTATATTCTTTCCCTTAGTGAGCCCTTTTGTGACTCCTGCTATACTGGGCATACTTGCCTAAGGTATCTTTAACATTCTTTTTATTGAAATGCTATCATAATTTCCTGGCATAGCATGAGTGTTGATTGTTTCTTGCTTGCATGTATACCTTTTTTGGCTTCCATATGAAATCCCCATTGTGGCCATCTTAGGGAGCAGATCCTGCGTGTAAAAGCAGAAGAGGACAAAATACCCTTGCTTGTTGTGGGCAATAAATCTGATCTGGAAGATCGCCGGCAAGTGCCTGTGGAAGCCGCTAGAAGTAAAGCAGAGGAATGGGGTGTACAGTATGTAGAGACATCAGCCAAAACCAGAGCAAATGTAGACAAGGTAAAGTAATAGTTTCTTTTCCATAGACATGGTTTCTATGTTCCACTTGATCACTTGAAATCCATTCCTGCCAAAGCAAGTTGAAAGCAAGAGACCTGGGTCCCTTTGCTAGTTTCCATGTTTTGGGAAGGATTTGAGAGCACCCATAAGTAATGGCTATTGCTCTGATTCTGTTAGAGACTGTGAAAGAAAGCTTAGGAAACTGTTGCCACTTTTATGTAGGAATAGCAGCAGGGACACTTCTTGGTGGCCTGTTTTCTACTTAAATTATTCTGCAAACTGCAAATTTGGTAACATGTTAAGGTTCCAAGTAGTAACTACAGAGGCCTCCTTCAGAGCCTTATAGTGAGGCAGGGGGCAGGAAGGGCAGGAAGTGTTGTTTGTTTACTTGAGGACTATCTCCTATATTAGGAAGAAACACAGAGATAAGAATCAATTTTGACTGGGGGTGGACTCAAATAGGTAACTTTATGTTATACAGCTGCTTTTAAAACATATTTCAGTAAGGAAATACTGTCATGCATGTATTTTAATGTGAAACAATATTTCAAGAAACAAGAACTTAAAAATTTTCAGAATTCTGTAAAAAAAACCTCATGCATCTCCCTGGCATAACTCTTCATTTGCTTGTAAATTAAGGATAGCTTATTTACTTGCATCTTCTGGACCCTATGCACTCAGAAGCAAAAATGACTTCTGCAGTTATCTAAGTAAGAGTTTCTTCTTTCTTTTGTTTGTTCCCATTTCTGCATCCAGTTGGTTTCCCTGTTGACTTCTGAAAGTGGTGAATTAAGGGACAAGTGTATCTCATAGAATTGTTTACTATTCTGTCTCCAACAGGAAGTCCTAGAGTATCAGTTAAAACATATAATTCCATAGAGTTCTAGATAATGGCTGTACTAGGGAAAACTAGATCTCATTTTTTAGCAAATGATTTTATTTATTTATTTATTTTTCAATTTATATCCTGCCTTTTTCCTCAAAGGGCTCAAGGCAGCTTACATCATTCCCCTCCTCCATCTTATCCCCACAACAACAACCCTGTGAGGTAGGTTGGGCTGAGAGTCTGTGACTGGCCCAAAGTCACCCAGTTGGCTCCGTGGCTGAGCGGGGACTAGAACCCAGAGTCCCAGTCCCACGCTCTTAACCACTACACCACACTGGCTTCTGGTTTTAAAAACATATGCTTTTGAAAGGCTGAAAGTTCAAACTTATAAAAATTAGTTAAAAGTTAAAAATAGATGAAAAAAGAACTACTTAAAGTTATTTCTTTTTTTCAGTAGTTGATTAGTTCATTAATTCCCATGACTGCCTACTAGCATTATCTTGAAGTGAAATTTAAGTTTTGCCATTAATCTAATGGAGGGATATTCATCTCCTTGCATTGTGCAAGGAGTAGAACCTTTTCCTAAATTCCTATCAGAAATGAATGTGTCAGTTGCACTTCAGGACTTCTTAATGGTCACCAGTACTTGTAAATCAGTGTTTTGGGTATGGTTTCAATATAATCTGAGCCTTGGTTTTCCATTCCCTGTTTCTTGGCAAACAGGTCTGCTGACTGCAGAAATATTCCTCTTTTGGAGTCATGACTTTCTCTTCCCCTCTCTTCTAAATAAATTTGCTTTTAAGGAATTCAGTATGCTTGAATCATTCTTAATCCAAATTCCTCAGATTAAATACAGGTACTTCAACTTAATGCTAGTTGTATATATGGTAAGTCTCCAATTAGTTTTTTCCTATGGCCCTATTAAATTTTCCCTATTAACTTTCTAGAGCCTGCGTTAATCCATGCAGCTGCTCTAAATTCTGATCTTTATATAACAAATGTGTATTTGATAATGCTAAGAAGGGTGATTTGGTATTAACACTCCTCATTATGGATAAACTAACATGTTTCTCAGATGTTTTAGATTACTTTTCCCCATTGCATTCAGGCTCTGTATCCAAATAAAGCAGCAGTAAAAGATTTGCTCCTTTGTTAATGTGCATTTTCACTTTTTTCAGGTATTCTTTGATCTAATGAGAGAGATTAGAGCCAAGAAAATGTCAGAAAACAAAGACAAGAATGGCAAGAAAAGCAGCAAGAACAAGAAGAGTCTTAAAGAAAGATGTTGCCTATTGTGATATTTAGGAACTTCTACATGTAGGCTGCAGAATTAACAAGACATTTACTACTAAGGGTAAAGAACTGGATTAATGTGAAGTGATCTGGATCCAGTAGGTTTTTCTACTCACATAATAGCCTTTTTGAAAGGTCAAACTTGTTTTGAGAATTGAAGCCCAGCAAATTGATGAATACTGAAATGAATGGTTCTTAGAAGCAATGCTAAAAAAATTGCCAGCACATTTTTTCATTGGTCATGAGTTATTTGCCCGACAGGATGGTCACTCTGAAGTTACCTCCTGATGCTGCTCCCTGTGTTGGTATTCCTTCTGCAGATTATTCTTCTCCTTCAATTTTTTAAAGTGGCTTGTTCTCACTGAAGTTCAACCAAAGTTACCTGCCTTTCCTACTTGGCTTCTGTTTTGTTGCTTCTAATGAAGGCAAATGCCATTCTTAAAAAGGGGAAATTAAATACACACAGAGATCATCTTTATCTCTGAAATTTTCACAAACTGTTATGTAGGTTTTGATGCTGTCAACTCTACTATTTTGCCAACACTTTTGATGGATGCTAGAAGGACAAATTCAAAAGCAAAGGCTCAGCACGAAGTTGGAGTCTGAATCATTGCTACAGTATTCCTAAATTGAGCCTTTAATCTTTGAACATTAGAGGCTATATCCTGACAAGTTATTTTTCCAACATTTCTCTCTTAATTTCAGCATTTATCAGGGGTAAATTTATAAGCTGTCTTAATGTGAAAAATTTCCTAAGTTTACCCCACTGAATAATTCTAAATCCTCTCTGCCAAATACTAGACTTGTTTTTATTCCCAAATGTGGAAATTCTGTCATGTTGCAGTGGTTTTGCACCTGCTAAAGCTATAGAAATTGCTGCATTTTTGCTCTTTCAGTGTTTAACAGGAAAGCTTCCTTTCTTAAATGTGATGGGCCACACTGTGAAATTTTGTGAGTTTGATTCAATCTCCTTTGAAAATAGAAGATTGGTATTGTGGACAATCCAGTAGTAACTTTTTCTGCACACCTGCTATTGAAATTAAGTCTAAATCTGAACATTTAAAAGGTTTGTGCAGAAAACATTCCTGGTGGAGTGTGCCATAAAGCAGTAATTTTCTCTTGAATTACTCCCCCACTCCTCTGGGTAATGAACTATGCTCTCTGCCTTCATATTGTCAAGACCTGGAGTTGTATTCCTGAATATGTGCTTCTGTCTTCTTGAACTGTGGAGCTGAGGGCAACTGTGACGTGAGATTAAAACAAAGGAAGTGTGCAACTTTTTCATTATGATTACCTTTTGCAAAAAATATCTGAGTTAATCATGTGTAGTTGCCAAAAAAACACCTGACCCTTATTGCTGTTGCACAGATTGTACTAATTCTGCTGCTGAAAAACTGTTGTACAGTTACTCAATGAACCATGGAAAAATGGTCTGTAAAGGCAGCTAAATATACTCACTAAAAGTTGTTCTGGTTTTGTCACTACTTGCATTATTAACGGTGTAAATGGAAAAGCAGGTGATGTGTGCATCTAATTTCTTTTAAATAGCCCCAGCCAACACAGGCTGAGGTTTTTTCATATCACCTGCTATCTGATCCTTTTACTGGAAAATGCCAGGGATTAAATATTGGACCTTGCTAGTGGAGAGTGGTGCTAAAATAACTGCTTTTTAAACTGCCAGTTAAGCAGGGGCACACTCTCATTGTTCTTGGGGAGCACTGTTTGGAGTCCCCCTCCCATGGCCACAGACGCTCTTGCAAACTGTTGGAGGGGACTCTGATTGCTGCTCTCCACCATTGCTCTTTTGAAGCCACCCTGTGTTGGCTGCTCCCATGGTTGCACATGCACCCTCAGAGGGAGAGTAAAAGGGAGCGTTCCAGTGAGTGGGAAGCAGAAAAGAGGCTGGGATAGGACCCCGTGTGGCTTCTCAGCCCAGCCCCTGGCAGTGTACCATCTCTAGCCAAATGCAGAAGCCTGTCTGGAGCAAGGTTTTGTAAAAAGAGGAAAGAGTGGCAAAAATTGCCACCACCAAGTCTCCCATTCTGCTGGCAGCAGCCCAGGAGAGCACTCATATTCATAAGACACCAAGATCAGAGAGTTCCTTCTAAGGAGGAGGTTTTTAATTGGCTGTCTAGTCTAAATAAACACCTTCTGAAAATAGGGCATCTCTTTGGAATCAAATCTTCCTCTGGTGGGCACTCCCAGGCAAGGACTGCCAAGAATGTTCCTAGGGTCGGGTCAGGTATTTGTAGAAAGAGACAGTCTTTCAGATTGCTGGGTCCCAAGTTACTGAGTATGTTAATAATACCAACACTTTGAATTGGGCCTACACATGGACTGTCAGCCAGTGTGAACGGAAAAGTACTGGCACGATATGATCCCATTTGCCAGTCCCTGTTAACACTCATGCTCTCGCATGTGGACTAGTTCAGTTTCTGGACTGTTTTCAAAGAAAGATGCCTATATATAAGGCACTGTAATGATCCAGATGGGAGGTCTAAATAAGATACCATTTAACATACCATTTTAAGCTGATAAAGATGCGCTGTCCCTGTAGTGATCAGGCTGGATCCAAGGACACCCCCAAATGATATCCTGATCCTTTAGTGGGAAGTGCAACTCCACCCAGAACTGGCCAAATATTACTCCATTGGGCAAGCAAACTCCAAGTAACAGTATATCCATCTTTTCTGGATTGAGTCTTGGTTTATTTGGCCTCATTCTATGGCTAAACACCAGTTTAGAGCAGCAACTCCTTACTGGACTTGATGAAAGGAGAGACAGCTGGATGTCATCTGTGTATTAGTGACACCTCAGCCAATACCCCTGGATATCTTGTCTGAGTGTTTTCATGTAGATGTTGAACAGAATGGGGGAAGAGAATAGAGCCTTGTGGAACCCTGTGGCACAGCTGCCAAGGCACAGAGCACTCACCCCTTAGCCCCATCCTCTGGAATTGCCCATCCAAGTCAGAGAACAACCACTGCAGGGTAGCCCCTCCAGTGCCCAGTCTAGAAGGATACCATGGCTAATGGTATCAAAAGCTGCTGAGAGATTGAAGAGTGACCATAGTTGTACTCCCTCTACTCTCTGCTGGAAAATTTCATCCCATAGTATGACTAAAAGCAGGCCTGAAGTCTGAAAAGGTTCTAGATAATCAGCTTCATTCAAGAAGTTTACCATCCACTCAAACGCCTTGCCTAAGAAGGGATATCGACTACTGGCGTATAGTTGCTGTTATCACCTGAGACCAGCTTAGGCTTTTGCAGGAGTCATCTAATTATCACTTCCTTTAGAGAGGCCAGCCTTGCTGCCTTTGGACCTGGCAATATCCCTTTCTCAGTAGGGATTAATTCCATTTAATAAGCTGGAAAATGCAAGGATCAAGCTGGTGCTCTGCTGGCCTTGACCAAGCACCTTATCCCCACCTTCAGGCCTCAGCAACTGAAACGCATCCAATGAAACGGGACCATTTGGAGTTCTGAGCAGCTCTTCTAACGGAACTGCATGCCTGTATCATTGTCCCAGCTTCCATGGGGAGGATGGTCAATGATGAGTGGATGAGGTGCGGGGATACCCCACTTTAGGTTTTCTCAGTCACCAGGAAGCAATTACTTCATTTTGTTTTATTAGCTGTGAAGCACCACTCGAGATTGGGACTGATGCTTTCACTAAACAAAAGGTGATGCAACTAGAAAGCCTAGATGTTCATTTCACGGTATTTCCTGAAACAAGCCTGATAGGAGCATTGCATTGTTGCAGTCCTGAAAGAAACTTGGCCCTTAAATTAGAAGACTGCTTCCTTGTTGCACAAATGTCCCTGGGACACCTTTCAAAAATGAATGTCATAAATCTTTATATAGATGGCAGAATTAGAACATGGAGTTGCTCTTATGTGTCACTTTATTTTTTAAACAGTTTTACTGAGAAGAGGAGGGGGTTTCAAATAAGAAACAGTTTATAATAAATGTTAAACAGTAATGAAACACCTACAATTACTGCGCTACTGTCGAGAAGGTATTATGGGGAAGGAGAAGGCACAACATGGCAAAAGAAATACATTGAAGCAGATGACTAACACAGAAATATGAAAAAGCACAAGGGTGACATTCAGTATCAGTGAAGAGCATGAGAACAGCTGCACTGCATTAGACTAGAGATCCATCTAGTCACTGCAGTGACCAGTCAGATGTCTGTGGAAAGCCAACGAGCAGAACATGAATGCTGCAATGACTCAGTCAGGTTTGCCAGTAACTGGCAACAAAAGTGTACCAGCTCTGATGCATTGCAATCATGACTAGCAAGAGGTGACAGTCTTCTCCGCCATGAATTTGTGTAATCCCTTTTGAAAGCTGTCCAAATTGGTGACCATCACTGCATCTTGTGGAAGTGAATTCCATAGTTTATATGCATTGTGAAATACTTTCTTTTAACCTTTTATCTGACCTGAATCTCCTACAGTTCAGTTTCATTGGATGACCATTAGACATGTTCAATGGATGTCCCAGTATTAGGAGAAAGGAAACAAAACCTCTTGCTGTTTTCCTTCTCCAAAATGTGTGGAATTTTACACACCACAGTCATATCTCTCCTTAGTAACATCTTTTTTTAAGCTAAAAATACCTGAATGTTGCAACTTTTCTTCATATGAGAGTTACTCAGCCCGTTGATACAGAGCTGGAGCTGCACAGCAAACAGCAACAACATGCCATTTGAGGTGCAATGACTATAAACGCAGACAACATTCCAGGAGTTATTGTTCCGTAATTTTGTAATATGGCTTTTGTACATCTCCTTTAAAGATCCCAACATACGAATCACAATTTTCACCATCCCCATGCACTTGTGTTGGTATTTTTATTGAGCCAACACGGAAATCCCAAATCCCTTTCCTGCTCAGTCACCACCAAGCCAGACCCCAAACAGTGTAAATATGAAATTTGGATTTTTTTTTACCCCAGTGTGCATCACTTTATATGTGCATAGATGGGAATGCATGTGTTGATAATGGTCAAGGTTGTTTTCTTCTGGCATTTCCTTGCAAAGCAGAGGTGAAAATCAAGTGATTACTAATTATTATGTAGACAGATTTTTGGCCTCTCACATCAGAAATATTCTTTGTGTTCATTAACTTTTCTCATTCATTCCCTTAGAAAGAGTGAATCTGATTGTCTCTATTTTCATGTAATTTGCAGCCAAATTACTTTTGACTAGTGAAAATAAAGCCTTATCTGTAAACCCTTCTTCCCTCTTCTTTTATAATTAAACTGTTATTCATATAATGGACCAGGACTGCATTCAATATTAAATTTGATTTTGGCTTTCAAAATGGCCATTGCTCCTGCTCTCCCCCCAGTTCCCAAACTGGTGCACTGTGGGCCAAGTTGTAAATAAAATCTAAGCATATTTTACCTGGAATGGTTATAATACATTTGCTTATCTTGTATTCAGCAAAGGTTTGGACTAATACAAAGCCTTGCCTTACTGTTTGTATTTACACTATGATGACAAATGCAATTTCTATCTTTCAATATATTGCTATAAATAGGCATGTCAGCAGTTTTTCTACAGTATTAACTGCCTGGTATAGAAAGATATTTACTGTACTCTTGAAATGAGAAAGTAGCAATACCCTGAAAAGAATGAGGGTACATCTCTTCAGTCGCTTGTTAGGAGTTCCTCAGCTGCATATCTACCATCATTACTGCATAGTCAAAGCATCTGAAATGGCCTGTCCACTGAATTTAACCTGGTATGCTTATAATACTGCACCTTGCAGACGTATCCATTCCCTTTTGACTTTTCCACATTTTCTTGTGTTACAACCTGGAAGTGGAATGGTTTTATTTTCATTGTTACTATTTGAGATAAACATGATACTCAGCCCTGTGAAGGTGCACAATATTGTTAGTGTGGCACAAAAGCAAAGCAAAGCAAATTGGCACTTGTTGGTTGCATAAGTGTTCGCCCTCTTTCTGTGACATGCCTAAACAACCTCTGGTGCAACCACAAGTCATAGAAGTAGTTGAATGGAGTCCATTTCTGCCAGCTGATTTCAGATGAAAGGCACCTAATTCTGGGAGGTCTCAGAATATGCTGGAGAGTATATCTAAACAAACAGCATTGTGAAGACCAAGGACCTACTGTATCAAAAGATGCTCCAAGATCAAGTCATGCAGAAGCACCTATCGGGGTTGGATTTTTTTTTTTTTTATTTCAAACTTGAACATTCCTTGGAGCACCCTTAAATCCATTATGACACTATGGAAAGAATCTGGCTCAACTGCAACTCTAGCCAAGGAAAGCCATCACAATTCAGTAAGAAGGAGCTGGAAAGTGATGGGAAAAGTCACCCGGGGGCAGCCCTTTCTGGATGTTCCACAAAGCTGTGCTTAATGGACTAGAAGAAAGCCATTGTTGAAACAAACCCATATCAAGGTCTTTTTGGAGCTTGCAAAAAGGTATG